GCGATGTTTACTACACACCGCACCAGGCTATCGTTTTGAGGCTGGGTGGACCTAGGGGAGGCCCGTGGCCGGTTCGTGTAGTCGTGACCGGTGTTGGTGTGGTGGCCGTGAGCGGGAATCGAACTTCGGGAACCCCAGATTCGTGGCGCAGTGCGCTAACCACCGCGCCACCGCTCCCCACACCCACGCTCGCAATTAGGAACCCAGGAGCAGGGAACATTGGACTCTCCTGGTAAATGAATTCTAACGAAATGAGGAATTGTTCGGTGTCATATGCGTGGCGTTTGTGTTCCCGTACCTGGTTTTATTGGAAAGCTGGTGTACAACAGCGACAATCATAATGCGCTTGTTTTGTGTGATTTTACGTTATTTGGTTGGTGCTGGTGAATTGTGACGTCGTCGGCTTGCACTCGGAAGATTGGCGCTGTGTGATTGATTATTGGCACAGTGTGATTATTGGAGCGGTGTATTTGATTATTGGCAGGGCGTGATTGATGTTTGGTACAGTGCGTACTAACGCAGGTGAAAGTAATCGTACACGCAGTGTGATGAATCCTATGGAGAGTGGCTGGTTCTCGGCAAAGTAATGTGGAATTTCCGCAACTGGCTTAGGGCCTTCATTGGAGATGAGGCCCAGTCAATTGTATTTATTAACCTCGAAAAGCCTCCCCGAGTCGCCAGAGTATTTTTCAGGACGACCCAACACTGGGTTGTTTGGTAATTTCCATGAATTGGCGATTGGCTTCTTATGCGCTAGTAAAGTGTAGCACCCGGAGAAACGAGAGCATGACACTCAAAACTCCACACGGATAGATTCAAGAATCCACTGCCGTACTGCCATCCCTTGGTCGCTTTGTAGGTGGCCACGTGATTATATTTGAATCGCACTGTGCTCATTAGAATTGCACTGTGCTCGTATATGATGAACATTATTATCATCATCATATGCAGAGCCGATGGGAAGGTGATGCCTTCTGCTTCAAAGGGATCTCAGTGAAAACTCGATGATATCCGCTTCCGTGGGCCGTTCGCCAATAATGAAGGCTTTCCACTGCTCGTTGTCCCGTGATGCGACACCGGTACCAAAAAATCTGATAAAATCGTTGAAAATCACCCGTTTGTTTGTATTATTATCATCAATCAACGCATGCATCGCCACACCTCTGCAATACAACCGCTGTAATAATATAGAAGGGTACGGGGCGTGGGGAGGAGCGTGAAGGGGAATGCGAGGCAGGGGGAGAAGAGGGCGGCCTATTACGCAGGACGAATGAATGACCACATTTCCCAGAGCGCCCTTGAAGGACACCGCGCCGGGTTTATTTTAAGAGGCGTCCCCCTTTTACCCTTGGTGTGACTTGCAACGCCAGCAGACGATCACCTCCGTGCACACGGCAGCACACACCCTGGGCAGCGAGAAGAGCTGAGCCAGGCGAAACCTCCCCGGCACAGATGTTTAATATATTATTATTTTTGTTACAAGGTATGGGCAATACGGTGGCGGGATGTTAACTACCTCGCCTGGTATACAGGATGTCGTGGGTTCAATCCCGACCCTGACGCCTGCTGTATATTTGGAGTTTGCATGTCCCTCACCATCATCATCACGGTGGCTAGGAGATGTTAACTACCTCGCCTGGTATACAGGAGGTCGTGGGTTCAATCCCGACCCTGACGCCTGCTGTATATTTGGAACTTGCGTGTTCTCTCCGTGGTCGCGTGTATTTTTCTCCGGCTCCTCCGGTTTGGTCGATTCTAAATTGTCTGCGATAAATTTCCACACGACACGCCACTTCGTTGAGCTGTCATTTGTGATAGCCAGGTCGCTTCTGAAAAAGAGCAATATGGCTCAATGGGCCTTACTAGATAAAAAAAAACTTAAATCGTTTTTTTAATATTAAACTTCTTTCTCGCCGTACGTAGCCAAACATGCTCATCGGAGGTGCAATCCCACCCATCGCGCTTAAAAAAAACAAAGATATATCCCAACGTTCTTCCTTCTTGGGAAGTTTTTCTCTTCAGCGCTGTTCATTCATTCATTAGCCGGGTGGTGGGGGTGGTGGTAGTAGTGGCGGCTATGCACGTGGCATGCAATTTAAGCACTGTGGAGGCAGCAGCGAGGTTTGGTGGATCACACACACACAGATATTGTGAAACCCCCTTCCCCGTGGGCGTTGAGGAGCCACCGTGCCCTGGCTCGCCAGGGGAAGGCGGCAGTACAACAAATGGACTAATCGCCATCTGTTTCCATCTGTACGGGGTGGATGCGCAAGACTTGGAGGTTTTTTTCCTGTCCAGGTGCTCCGGTTTCCTGCTTGTTGTTGTGTTTATGTTTTGACGAGGCTGGTTGTAATTACCGCCGAAACGTCGCACTCGAATCGTAAATGTCGTGGGTTTACTCCGCAACACACCGTGTGCTGAACTAGTAACGAATTGGCACGCGTTTACGTGACAAATCTCACGAATTGGCTGTGTCGGGTGGTGGCGTGTTTAACGGCTCATTTATATTTACGCGATCTAACTCAGCCAAAACCCTCTAAATTATGGACGTGTTTAGTTTGTTGTCCTTCCGCCCCACCCCGGGCACCTCCTCGATTATAGCGGCTGGCTACGCATACGGTGCGAAAGAAGTTCAACCTACGTGGGCATTCTGCACAGGGCCCTCCCTGCCTCCTCGTGGACCAATTCACCGCCACCGGACGGCTGTGGCAGACACGAGCGGCGTCTTGGCCCGCTGTGTGTGCACGCCCAAAGGGGGCCTCGCGACTCGGCATTTTGTTTTTGGGTTTTCATTTGGGCCCCTCGACCTTGAAACGGCAAAGAAGAAAATCGGCCCACTCGCGGTCGGTCGCCCTTTTCGCTGCCGACATTGATTGCGTCTTCGTCGGGAGCCGTTTTGTGGAACGTCAAACAAGCAGGGCGTCAATCCACGGCATCCTGATGTCAATGGCTGTCTGCACAGATATTCGATAATATGCTCACCTAGAGACGGTTATCGGAGTATCGGTACTGGGCGCCAAATACCAGACGCGAAATATTTAGAACAAAAAAAAACCCAAAACAACTCCACATCTTCCTTCGTTGCTGCTGTAGCTCACGCAGGATCACGGATCTCCCGTGTAAAGTAGCCGGGCAACTGGCTAACACGGGATCATCAACCTTGAAACAAATTCAATGAACTGAAACCCACGATTGTGACCGCTTCGTTCTGAACTACGTACTCAGAAGTCGCTCGTAACCAATAATTATTGATAAAATTGCACGATAAATAAGAAAGTGAATGATCAATATCGCCCATCTCGTGTTGTTGCTGGCAGGTGATTGGCTGCTACAGGCGGAGTGATTGAGTAACCCGCGGCAACGGCTCTTGCGAAGAGATAGAGTTACGAGCTCACTACAATACCTACAATTACTTCGACCTATACGGATGGTGCGTTTCTCTTACGCCGCAAGCGTTTTTGTTCTCGCGCCTTCCTCTGGTCTTCGTCCAGCACTCGAACATCCGATTAGCGTGGTGGGCTACGTACGGTGCGAAAGAAGTTCAACATAATACTATACACTACTATACACTACATACTACACTATACACTACCTACACTTTACACTACCTACTTTATACACTATACACTACATACACTACATACACTACATACTACACTATACACTACATACTCTATACACTACATACTACACTATACACTACATACTCTATACACTACATACACTATACACTACTACACACTACATACTACACTATACACTACCTACTTTATACACTATCTACACTATACACCACATACTACACTATACACTACCTACACTATACACTACATACTCTATACACTACCTACACTATATACTACATACTACACTATACACTACCTACACTATACACTACGATACACTTCCATAATACGTGAAAGCCTACGTTTTAAACGAAACACGTCTCTACAATACACTATATCACGAAACTAAATTGAAAACTCATTTCTTGAGAATTGTTTTTTTGTGTTTAGTTTGTGCCCCCTCCCCACCTCCAATGAGCGCGGTTGGCTACGTACGGTGCAAAAGAAGTTCAACATACGTCCGTACAACCATTGGGGCCGTATACCACGATGCGAACGTGCCGTCACATCACGTTCTGACGACAGCAGTCGGGGACACAAGTTAACTCTTCTCTGTTGTCAAATGGCCATCCTATCAGAGCATTTCCTTTTCACATAAATGGTAAAGAGGCGTGGAACAAACGATGAAAGGCGCGCTCAGCACGTGGAGGTGTGAGCGTACTGGGAACTCCGGGGAGCGGTGGGGTAGCGGTTAGCGTGCTGCGTTACGTACCCAGTGACGATTATGTGAACCGGTCCTGGGTCTCCCCTAAGTCGACTCAGCTTAAAATGCGTACTTGGTGCGGTGTGTAAAATCATCGCCACTGGCGGTCGGGCGTGGTGCTGGCCACCCACCTCCTCGTGTGCCGTTCTGGCCTTCAAAGGTGCTCGCTAACAGCACTTGCCCCAAACAGTCTGTTAATGCTACACGGGAGATCTTTGTCTTTGTACTGGGAATTACACTGTGAGGACCACGCAGATTGGAGGACACAAGCGAGTCACAGACATAGTTTTGCCTGTTCAGAAAATTGGGCTTCGGGCAGGGTACCTCGCTATACGGGACAGTGGCCGGCGGTCGAGACGAAGGATGGAATAGCAGCCAAAGGAGGGAACACGTCCCAAAGTAGGTGCAAGCGCGAAGACGGAGCGACGATCTCATCTGGAGTGCAGGTGCTCGACGCATCGTTTCACTGCAGGACTGCGAGAGATGACGACGGCTTGGGGAAGGTCTGCATGCAGCAGTAGATAGATCATGATGATGATGATGATAATGATGATAGCCTATTACCATGTTCCCCAGATTATAATACGCTCTGGAAAACAAGACGCACTCTGATTATTTGGGGCTATTTTTTTTTAAAGGTGTATTTTATTTTCGAGAGTATAAACGTTAGCTTGGAGCGCCATCTTCCAGGAGATGTTAATCTATGTATGTTGAACTTCTCTCGCACCGTACTTAGCCAACGAACGCGATGCATTAACGTCGGTCGAGTTTAAAGCGTGTCTTCTGGAACGGTGTATTTTCTGACTTACAAGACGCTCCCCCAACGTTTGCTTTACAATACAGGTAAAAACAGCGCATCGTAATCCAGAAAATACGGGGCGTTCTTTTCTTACTTTCCTATCAGCGTGAGAAGAGGGGCATAGACTCGACTCCAAGCCCTCCACATCACCTACTCCCACTTATCCCAGCTCTTCCCTGCCGCTGCTGCTGCTTCTGCTTCTCTTCGGATGACACCGCGAACACCGAGAACGTGAAACTGCGGCTGAAGCTCAGGCTGGAGATGGCCGGAGTGGCTGGCAGCGACGACGACGTCGACGACGAAGATCGCCCTTTGGCACGACACTGGCCCGATTTGTGGCCACCGGTCCCCGACCCAGTGGCGGCAACCCGTCGGGAACCCGCCCTCGTTCCCGACCTGGCACCGACTCCGCACGGCCCGAAGTCATCGGCGCCCTTGGACAAAAAGTCCCCGCCGGAGTCCGCGTGCTGCCAGGGCACGAGGTCGTTCCTCCTCCGGGCGCAGACGGAGCAGGCTAATACCGCTCGTCTGGCCGGAGCCGTCGGCTCGACGAGCCCAGCCGCCGTTTGCTTCCGCGAGGCGTTCGCACGTGGCGGGTCGTCTGGTCGCATGTGGGCGTCCGCTCGAGCCAGCGCCATGTGCTGCCGGAGGCGATCGTCACGGCCTCTGCCCTTCTTGTGCTGCGGGGAGCGACTGCCTGTGAAATAAAGTCAAAATGAAGTATACGCTACTGCAGTCACACGGTTGTTCGGATTTTTTTCCCGTAACCAATTATTCCACTTTTTACATCTATCTACGGGGTGATTACATTTTTTTAACACTTCTGAGAATTTGCAACAATACCACGAAGAAATGTGCCTCCGGGCTCTGGAGACTACCTGGAGAAGATTCCAGGCACGTGTTGACAATGATGGCGAACAAGTGGAGACTCTGACTTTTTGAAGCTATTAACTATACATTTGTTATCATGTTACAGTGTATTTATTATCTGTTCTTTTTCCATTAGAAACGATAGTCCCATATAAGTGTTAAAAAAATGTTGAAGCACCCCGTATATATTCCAATGACAGTTTGGAATTACATTGAGAGATAGGTGAACACGAGGATGAGAGAATGTACACGTGGTTAATAGACGTCATTTAAACTGTTAAGATAATACATTTTGGCTTAGGCACTATTCGTCTTAGCTTAGAAGGGATGGTGACCGATGGGCACGAATAACTACAGAGAGCCAAGGAATAGAACGCGCTTAGGCTCAGCTTTAAATCGAATACCTGGCGCGGTGGGTAAACATCAGCACCTGGGAGACAAAGGCAGTCGGGCGTGGTGCTGACCGCCACCCGGTCGTGTGCCGTTCCGGCCTTCACAGGTGCTCCTCGCTCACGGGAATTGCCCCAACAGTCTGTTCAAGTTTCGAGTTAAAGCTTTCGTGACTGCAGGGAGTCATCTTCTTGGTTCTTTCGGTAAAGTCACGTAGAAAGAAAATAATAAAAAAATAAAAAATAAAAAAATAATTCTCACGACGTTTCGGCCACAACGCAAGCAGCCGTCTTCAGGTAGAGAACAGGTCTGTCGAGAAGGCAGACCTGTTCTCCACCTGAAGACGGCTGCTTGCGTTGTGGCCGAAACGTCGTGAGAATTATTTTATTATGGATTTTTTTCCCTTCTACGTGACTTTACCGAAAGAACCAAGAAGTCTGTTCAAGGTTATGCGGGGGACCGTTGTCTTTGTGTCGCGGTGTCCACGGCAGCGAGGCGACGCTGAGACCCTCACCTGTGTCTCCTGGAGTTGGTGCAAGCCCTCCGCGCGTTGCCTGCGCCGTGGCCGCGGCCTCATCCCCGTGGGTCGCAAGGCGCTGGCGTCCCCGATTCTCCTCCTCCTCGTCGTCGTCGACACTGCCGCCTCCTGCGCACGGTCAATGCAGTCGACACGGCCCGTCCGCTCGTCGTCTTAAGCGCGACAAACATCCAGTGGAATTTGAGTCACGTCCCCGTCCTATCATTCTCTTAGTACCGTCGACTGAAATAAGACGGACGTTCGGCGAGAATTGTTTGCCAATGTTGGTGTGAAGGGCACGGCAATTACCCAATATTATCAGGTCAGATAATCATTGAACTCAAGTAAAAATTTTTAATATGCCTTATAGGACTTTACATAAATAGCCAATTACCATTGTTGGTCTACCTCCAAAAACATCGAATTATTTCAGTATGCGTCCGATCACTTTGTTTAGTCGTAGGCCGCCAACACTTTGCATGTTTCGGTAAAAAATAAAACCTTACAGATGTCCCAGGAGAATACAAAATCCCAGCTCAGAACAGAGGTGGATCTCTTAACTTGATGCTCGATAGTCCACTCACAGTCGTCGTCAACAGAAACAAAAAATAAGAAAGAAAAAACTTCGGCGACAAATCATTTTCGGCGTCAATTTCGTCGACAAAAGTATTTTTTTTTTAAACTGCACCTGCGCCAAGCAGAGCCCTCTCGTGCCACGGCCGTGTCCTCCCAACATCGCCCGGCACGGGCACCTTCCCACTGCGGCCAGCGCGATCCAGCAGCTTCATGCCGTTGATGTTGAGCATGGCTGTGTGCCTCCGGCAAGTGGCTGTGCGCCTCCAGTCGTGCAATCGTTGTCGGAGAGAAGGGATCCTGGGCACCGTCCGTGTGCGTCTGCGCGTGTGCGCGTCCGAGCGCGTGCGTGCGCGCGTGAGTGCATCTGAGTGCGTTGCTTGTCACATGCACTTTCACTGTGGGGATTGAGGACTTCCAGGAGGCCTTGATAATTAATTAATTCGTCCGTGCTCTCATTACAAAACTGACATAACGCTGAGGCTCCTCTGATGCGCGCACAGGGAAACCTCATCATGGTTACGTGGCTCATGTTGCGTTCGCGAGTGTATTGTCACCGGCGCCGACTTAATAATGACGGTGGGTGTGATGATTCACCACCACTCACCCTTCCCGGCTCTTCCCCCAGAGATTCTAAGAACTGTCACAATGCTATTGGAGGATGAGATATTATTCAAATATCGAAGTGAATGGCAGCACTTCTGCTCGGGGTGATGTGAACGCCATCACGCACATGAATATACGAACACGTGAATTCTTACGCACGCTCTGTAATGCATGTTATCACCATCTTATGAATCAATATCAATAAATGAATCGATTAATAATTGACCTGTAATGCACAACCCTTTATCAATACGCTGCTGGGTGAGAAGCTTCCCCTCATGCCTTTCAGTCATGGAGGTTGTCAGATCATACTTCACCACACTGGTCACTGCGGGTGCCGTTAAACAGGTTCATATATCGCTTGGGGTAGCAGGGTTCATGGCGCAGTGTGTGACGTCCTCCATGAGCTTAAGAATTGGTGTTAAAGAAATGACGCATCATTACACCCCGTAAATAAGGCCAATTATTTACACAGGAAAGTGTCACTGAGTCTCAATGCCATCTTTCAGAGGAGGGTCCTGCAATCTGATGTTGGGCCAAATTGACATTGAGGAAGCGTTTGGCTTGAAGGAGAGAAACGGAGGAAACCCGGAGCAAAACCTCACACGAGTGGGAGTGACACTCACCATTGCCATCCCCTGGCTATTTCCAAGTCCTGTAGTCACGCGATGAACCCACACATGCAGAGGCAAGCTTCTCTGCATGTATTCATGCATCCTAGGCAACCGAAACGACTTTGAAGCAATGGAGAAGACCACTGGTAGAGAGTAGATGGACATCATTCACCGCATTTGGCACTGCATACGTACGTAGAGGGGATAAGGAGATTCGGAACGCAGAGATTCAGACGGGTGGCTAGATAAGATGGAGAGAGAGAACAGAATTTATTCAAAGCGACGGCACCAACACAAGACGGCAGACAGTGGAAGCCGTTCAAGTCAGCGCTATCGTCGCTGCTGAGCGGACGAAACGGAGTTTAAGATGCGACTCTTACTGGTAGCAACCTCCTGGTTACACCAGCCCACAGGGGATTATTGTGTCCGTCGTGCAGGGAGGGGCTGGGTGGGGAGGGAGGGGGGGCTGGGTGGGGAGGGAGGGAGGGGAGGGTGGGGAGGGGCTGGGTGGGGAGGGGAGGGTGGGGAGGGGAGGGTGGGTGAGGGGCTGGGTGGGAGGGGTGGGGCTGGGTGGGGAGGGGAGGGGCTGGTCATCCCGTGGTCCCCTTATAAAACTCAACGTTTAACCTACTCACGCCGGCTTGTGCCCGCCCTCACAGTCCGGCATATTTGCGGAATACACCACGCCGCCGTTGACCCTGGCCATTGACCGAGAAACCCAACGTTCCTACCAGCTCCCTCCGCAGGAATGTGTTTCGACTGGGTCACGCGTGGTGGATTTTATCCAAGCAATGAGAGAGCAATTACCACCTTGCTAAATGCTCCTCTAAGACATTCCGGTCAACGATAAGAGTGGATGTTTTACCGGCTCAAACAAGCAAACGCGTTTGGTGATGAACTCCAGTGGTGGCGCTACGGCAAAGCGAAGCAAGCAATCGCTTGGGCCCAAGTAGCTCAGTCGGCTCTTAGTTCGTGAATAAAGTCGGGGTGAACCAAATTACAGCTCACATTTTAATCCGAATAATCATTAAAAAAGAGAAAAACTACCATTTAAAAAGGGTTGCTTGTGTTGCAATCGAAACGTCATATTCCATCATTCCATTTATTTTCTTTCTACGTGATTTTACCGAAAGAACCAAAAAGTATCTCATCTCTCTCTTCTAAACCTCCGTTATTGTGTCTCTACATCTGTAAATCCACGTCTGTGTATGTGTTCTCCCATTTGACTGAATGTCCATCTCGCTCACGACTCGTTTGTCACCTCACCCGGAGTTGACAGCACAACGTGGGGAGCCTCCACACCGAGCTCAATGCACTTTACCTGGTAAGATACACAAACATGTTGTGTTGTTTCATTTGCATATTGTTCTTAAATGATTTATTTACATTTCCTATACTCGGCGCTCCGATCGTGTTGCTGTATTGTTTGTAGTTGTAACGTTCTAACATTTTGTGAAAAAAGGGCATTCTAGCTCATCGGATTTCTCCAGCATGAACACACATTCTGATTCTGTCTCCTTAAGGGCGCCCGATGCACCAGCACCACCGCCTGGGAACGAACTCACATTCGGCAATAATACCGCTTTTAAAAGTGAAACAAATATATATACATCGGCAACGTCTCGTGTAATGTGGTCCTTCTTCACAGCACAATGAGGACCAGTCCAGTCAATAAAATCACGAGCCGTGGTGCTGGCTGGGTTCTGGGACGCGACTTGGAGTGAGTAATGCGTGTTGGGTTCCATTTCCTGGCGAACTGACACCGAGCTCGCAGTAAACTCAACACCGCACTGCGCACTCCGCCTACTGAAGTGGCTTGCTTTCTTCTCATGTCGCAGGCTTAGAGGGCATTCATTATTCACGCCGCCACACCCGTCGTGATGTCAGGATCGAGGTGGGGCGAGTGCCGTGAAGTTCAAGGCGGGCGGACGCCTTGAACCTGCGAGCGGATTGTATTCCGCGTTGAAGAGCAGGAGCGATGCACGCCAATGGGTGAATCGTGAGCAAAAAAGTCAGGGGTAGAGTTGTGGGGCGAAGTATGCTAACCAAGCCGGCCTACAACCCAGGCGTCGGCAAGCAAAATAACAAATAGAGACAATTTTTTTCGAATTTGGTAAAAAACAACCTTAGTATTTCAAGAGCCGCAATGCAATTTGAATACGAGACCTGTGGTCTTTCATGAATAACGTCTACAAGCAGTCCTTAAAGTGCCGCAGTTTGCCGACCCCTGGTCATGGTAACTCTGGACTCATGGTTAACTGGACTTCCATGGTAAACTGAACTTCCATGGTAAACTGGACTTCCATGGTAAACTGGACTCCCGTGGTAAACTGGACTAACATGGGGATCTGAATTCCCATGGTAAAATGTTCTTTTTTGTTAATGGACTTCCATGGTAAACTGGATTCCCATGATGAACTGGTCTTCCATGGTAAACTGAACTTCCATGGTAAACTGTATTCCCATGATGAACTGGTCTTCCATGGTAAACTGGACTTCCATGGTAAACTGTATTCCCATGATGAACTGGTCTTCCATGGTAAACTGGACTCTCGTGGTAAACTGGACTAACATGTGGATCTGAATTTCCATGGTAAAATGTTCTTTTTTTGTAAATGGACTCCCACGGTAAACTGGACTCCCATTTTCTTGGTTCTTGCGGTAAAGTCACGTAGAAGGGAAGTAATAAAATAATAAAAATAAAACATAATAAAATCAAATAATTCTATTATGTTTTATTTTTATTATTTTATTAATAATTCTCAGAATTATTTGATTTTATTATGTTTTATTTTTATTATTTTATTAATTCTCAGAATTATTTGATTTTATTATGTTTTATTTTTATTATTTTATTACTTCGCTTTTACGTGACTTTACCGAAAGAACCAAGAAGATGAATCCCTGCAGTCACGAAAGCTTTAAATCAAAATTTGGACTCCCATTATCAACTGGACTCCAATGATGAATTGGACTCCCGTTGTAAATTGCACGAGATATTTTTTTCCACAGCATTATTCACGAATGTGTTGAGTTTTTATTGTCATTCGCGAATGACATTGGTAATGACGTCACGTGTAAATGTCTGAAAAGCTCTGATGAAGTCATGATCGCGTCACTAACAAACACGTTAGATGACGTCATATCAGGAGCGTGCATGGCTGACGTCACGCACTCGACGACGTCACGACCACCCCCCCGTTAACATCAACGTCCGCTGGGAGAGAAAGAGAGAGCACCGTGCGTGATGACGTCACGAGCCGACGTCTCCCCACCGCCCCTCCCGACGTGATGGCGTCACCGGCGGTACAGTAAGGTCGGCGCGACGCGGTGACGTAACCGCGTCACGCCGTGTTGTGACGGGTGACGTCATCGGGCAGCATGGCGGCGCGCTTGGCCGCACGTGTGGCGGTCACGGGCCTGAGCCGGGCGGGAGGAGGTCGCAGCCTCCTGGGGCCCGCGGCGCTCCCCGTCCGCCGCCTCTGCAGGTGCGAGCCCCGAGCTCATTGGGGGGCCCCAGTGTCGATTGTGGGGGGGCCCAGTGTCGATTATGGGGGGCAGGAACGAGGCAAAACCTAGCCCCAGAACGCTCCCACACTCATTGACATTTGTTTTGTTTTGTTATTTCCCGAGTTAAGGGCCCACTGAACTGTGTAGCTATTTTTTTTAGAAGCGACCTGGCAGTCACGAGTGATATAGCTCAGCGAAGTGGCTTATCGTGTGGACATGTGTCGCAGCCACATACTGTACTCTTAAGCGGATGTTTTTGTTAAATGTGGAGGGGGAGAAAACACAGGAGGACCTGGAGAGAAAAAATCTCCACGGGGATCACAGAGAGAGAGACACGCAAACTCCAAATATACAACAGGCATCGTCAGGGTTGGGATCTAACCCAAGCCCTCCTGTATACCGGGCGAGGTAGTTAACATCTCGACACCATGAATCTCGCTCAATGTTGAACTGAGAAGGTATCTCGGTCGCCAAGTGAATGCACCCCCCCCCACCTCCCCCCGTGGTCTAAGCTATTGGTGGAAACTCCACATTCATGTGGCGGGCGACACCGTCTGTGCAGGGTAATCACGAGTGATTTGCCACACAATGGTGGTCGTTTTTCAGGGTGCTTCAAAAATGTTTTAACACTTCGGAGATTTTGCAACAATACCACGAAGAAATGTGCCGCCTCCGGGCTCTGTAGACCACCTGGAGAAGATTCCAGGCACGTTGTTGACAATGATGGCGAACAAGTGGAGACTGACTTTTTGAAGCTATTAACTATACATTTGTTATCATGTTACAGTGTATTATGCGTTCTTCCATTAAAAACGATAGTCGCATATAAGTGTTAACACTTTTTTGAAGCAACCTGTATAGACAATTTCGCGCGATGATGAGATGAGTCTTTATACCCACGTTGAAATCTCCGCAAGTGCCCGGCTCATTACGCCCTGGTGGCGTGGAGAGATATCAGGCACGTCAGGTCTGTGCCGGCCTTCATTCGGTGCTTGCAAACGGCATTTGCCCCCATCAAGTCCAACAAGGCCATACGGTGAAACGTCTCTGGTTAAGGGGTTGTGTATCCTGTAGATGTGCAGTGTTTGGTCTGTGTACGGGTCTTCAGTACGAGATCTTCGGGAAGGTGTACGTATGTGCAGCTACTCAGCTCAATGGGCTTCACTCGGGAAATCAACTTCTGATTGTGTGCACAGGTCCTGGAGTAAGGAGGAGTCGGTGTGCGTATCTGTATACATCTAAGTCTAGATTGAAAACTAATTTCCGTAGAACTGATTTTTTATGTTTAGCTTGTCCTCCGCATCTCCGATTAGCACGGTTGGCTATGTACGGTGCGAAAGAAGTTCCTACAGTACATACAAGGTTCTGTATGCGCGTGCATGTGCGTACACGTCCCCTGGGCGAGGGCTTGTGGTTTCAGAGTCTGCCGTGCGCCGTCTCTCGTCACCCACAGGCCGTTGAGCGGCGCCAGCCCGTCGGACGACGACCTCTACGAGAAGACGACGGTGACGATGCTGCAGCGAGACTCGCCCAACACGATGTTCGTGGACAGCTACGGCCTGCACGGGTTCACCGTGAACGGCAATCGCGTGATCGGTCCGTGCGCCATCATCCCCCATGCCATCATCCAGTGGAACGTGAGCACGCACCCCCCCAGCCGTGTCTGTGAAAAAGAGCTTTATAGCTCATCGGATTCCTCCAGATAAATGTTCTGATTCTGACAAAATTTTGCAGGGGATTTCTTCTCGCCCTTTGGTTTCTCGCCACCACAGAACATTCCAGAAAATCGAACTGGTCAAGTGTCCCAATCCAGGTCCCGAGTCTTGTCAGTCAGAATGCAATGGATTAATAATATATTTGATATTTCCTCTTCTGCATTGGTGGAGAGCCCCCGTGAGTAACACGAACATTTTGGTTTCTTCACTCAGGTTGGAAGCTGGAAGGATATCAGTGAAGAAAGCTTATCATTGTTTTACCTTCTGGAGCCCCGAATAGGTGAGGATTCAACAAGTGAATAAAGAAGTCGCTCGCACGCTTCCTTGCATTTACCTTAAGTCGTGATGCCTGCTGTTTATTACATTTTGCCGTCAAGTGTTTCTCCGCTGAAATGAGCATTGAGGTGGGGTGCACATCTCTGTTGGTGGTTCAGAGCCAGTAAAGTAAATTCTACATTCTTAAAATGGCAAACGATCTTTAGGGAGGACCACTGTTGACTCTCCACGAAGTGGCACTCATTTTATGAACTCGGACGGTAAGCTGGGAGATTCAATCCACAGCCAGAGTTTAGCATTCCGCCAACAGCTCCACCTGGCCACAGTCCAGATATCAGAGCAATGTTTGTTAAAGTCAAGAGCCTCACTTTAGACACTCAGCATCATCACCACCAATGGCAGCTCCGATTTGCAGATCCCATTTACACTTTCGTGCTCCATTCTACTTCCAAGTCTCTTGCCCGGTCTTGGCACGGAATGCCCAGCGTAGTGTCTCGTGTCGCGCGGGTGAGCAGAAATCCTCGTGTTGGGGACGGGCGACCGAGTGGAGCGTCTGGACCCGCAGCTGCTGCGCTTCATGACGCGGCAGGGAGTCGCCGTGGAGGTGCAGGACACGGTAAGTGCTCGTGCCGGCTTTCCCTCCGACTACCAAAAAATTTACGATGCATTTTTCAACTCGTGCGGCTACGCTGTCAGATCATATCGTACGGTTTTGGATTTCGGTGGTTGTAGGATGTCCAGCGACTAGTGTTACCAATCCACTACGCACTCCACACCATTCCCCCCGCATGTGCCTTGCAACACTTTGTAGAGTTTGACAGCAGGTTCAGCTCAACTCAGATCACGAAAACTATCCCCTACGCAGAGCGCCCCTTCCTCAGCCACTCGATAGCGACGGTAGCTCCTCCACCACCCAAGAGTCGCTCATCCACAGTGCCGCTACAGGTTGAGAAGAGGAAGGCTGATTGGGCCTGTGCTTGGGATTTGCGGGCATTGGGAATGGCTCCACTAAAAAAAAAACCACCCCTTCATCCATCGTCACGGTGTCCCCCACGGAACTCCCCTGAAATGCACGCCGATGCTGCCATCAGCACCACGAGGATTTCCCCACTTCAATAAAAATAGCTAACACTCACAGCCGGTTGACGGGATCGAGCCCACGGCTGTATGTACGTGCTTATCGGGAGCGGAGGCTGGACTGTTCCACTTTCTCCGAAGCTGCGTTCCTCCATCTCCTGCTGCGTCGTCCCTGCATTGAGCTGCCCACCTGGGGTGCAGTCTCGCACTCTAAGCCCCCAGTCTCCGTGCTGCTTTTATAGTGCTGCCCCCCCTTAGTGCTAACCCCCCTTACCCAGTGACAGTCCCCCTGTCTCATGGGTAATTGGGACTTGACAGTCATTGGCTCACCTTGTGGGATGACGGTCCATTTAATGAGAACCGAATGCCCGTTGGATTGCATGGCGTGCTTTTCCAATCACCATTTAACTGGAGCCTCTCGTACCCATTGAGTCTGTGACAGTCAAGCATCAGTCGCCGGTTCTCTGGCTGCCCTCTAGAAGCTTGTCAATTTTTTGTTTTTGTCTCTTACATTGAACTACGTTAAATGTGGCTAAGGACGGGCATTCGCGCACCGTGTAACTTTCGTAATCGCGTTATGGAAGACGTCCCGATTATAAAATAGATTTTTTTTATTCCCCCCCCCTCCCCCCGATGTTTGGAACCGCTAATTAATTTCCGGGACGTTTTGTAACCCAGTCGATATGGTAGTGCCTCCATCAGCCCAGAGATGATTAGATAATGTATGTTTGGGTTGGCTCGCGTAAATATAAATGTGTCATTAAACCCGCCACCACCCGTCACAGCCAAAAAGGTTTGTCACATAATAAAACATGCCATTACATTACCAGTCCAGCACACGGGTGTGTTGGAGAGTAAATCCATTGTAATTTATGACCACGTTAACCCTTCCCCCCCACCTCTGATCTTCACATGTGATTGGATCACAAGTGATGGCATCACATTTACCCCCTACATTTAAGACCAAAACAGGAGGATGTATCCACAAATCTGCCTGTCGCCTGATGATACTGGTTGTGATTACTGGCGAAACGTCGTAATCAAATTGTAATTGTGGGTTTACTCTCCAACACACCCGTGTGCTGTACCGGTACCGAATTGGCACGTTCTGTTTACGTGACAACCCTTACTAATTGGCTGTGTCGGGTGGTGGCGTGTTCAACGACACATTTATACATTTACGCGATCTAACCCAAAAAAACCTCTAATATGGTTGATATTGGTTGCGAAAGCCTTCGTGTTTAAAGCGATGATTCTGTGACTGGCTGATGGCGCCCCCTGCTGCCCCCCCCACCCCCGCACCGTGCCGTGTGCTGCTTCCAGGGCCACGCGTGCTCCACATTCAACTTCCTCGTCAACGATCGCCGCCTGGTGGCTGCTGGACTCATCCCGCCCACGCAGTTGGCGTGACCCGCGGTCGACGTGCGGCAAGGAGGGGGGGAGGCCATGGGGAACCGCGGTGGCTAGGAGATGTTAACTCTAGATTTGAAGCTTTCGTGACTGCAAGGATTCATTCTCTTTATTTTTTCGGTAAAGTCACGTAGGTAAAAAAAACTAAAAATTAATAAAAATAAAATAATAAAAATCACGACGTTTTGGAGTCAACACAAGTCTCCGTCATCACGTGGGACCGTCACAGCCAGATTTGCTGTATCAATTTTAATTTAATTTTTTTACCTACGTGGCTTTACCGAAAAACTAAGAGTAGGAGATGTTAACTCCCTCGCCTGATATGCAGGCGGTCGTGGGTTCCATCTGGGGGACCCTGCTGACGCCTGCGGTGTATTTGGAGTTTGCGTGCATTTCTCTCCCAGTGGCCACGTTGATTTTCCTCCCGGTCCTCTGGTTTTTCCCCTCCACATTTAGAATCAATGTTGCGTTTAGAGGATTTGGCTGCTATACATTTCCACATGATGATAAGCCGCTTCGTTGAGCTATCATTTGTGGCAACCAGGTCGTGTTTGAAATAGAGCTGTATAGCCATTTGGGCCTTACCTGTTAATTTTTATATATATATATATAGAACGCTGCATCACGCTGTTGGTCTGAGCCAGGTTAAGTTTAATTTTGGGGGGGGGGCAGGGCTATTTATGGTGTACGGGGCCCCCCCTCTTTGTATTTTAAGTTAATTCCCTTGACTGTTTTACCAACACCCATACCCCGGTGCCACACGGTTATTTCAGTTCCGGTTTTTAAACATTCATGTACAAATTGTTAACCTAAATCAATCAACGGTAAAAGGAACAAAACTATTTAAAGTTTGGAAAATAACTTGGAGTAACACATTGTGATACTTTGGCTCAAATAACAAAATTACACAACAATAATTTTTCTATGTATATTTTTTTGGGGTCTCTCAAAAGCGGAGGGCCCGGGTTGCAGCCTCGAATGGCCAGGACTGCGATAATCTGGCCCTGGCTGTGGTATCCAACCTGGGCTTCATTGTAAAGGAAACTATCCTTGTGTGGAATGCGGGTTAATACAACTGTCGATTATCCGGATTAAACAATAACACGGATACATTGCAAACACACGTGTGAGTTAGGCTATGAGGAGGTATTCGTTGGTTACCTCTGTATAATGGGGGGGGGGGGGCGAAGACATAATGCATCGTCTCAATTTATTGCTTCTCAAAGTGAATCGGTTCACTTGTTTGCTGTCACGTGGGCACCGAGTCGCTGACGACCCCCGACGAGTGTGGAGCGGCTGGCAGGTCAATCGGTGTGCGCGCAAAAGAAATATGTTTCACAAGCAGCACGGTTCATTCACAACCCGGATAGTCTGCCTGCGGAGTAATCGACAAGTTGACCGTGCGTGCTACAAGCATGCGTGCGGGACGTCGCGTTCATGAAAATGTGCGGCGTGTCGATTTGAGCCGTCGAAACGCTGCGCGGTACCGTGTGCCCAATGTTTACGACCCTAAAAAAAGCGACAACTGAACGGCGGTGCAGGAGTCTCGGGGAGTTTTGCGGTTTATGGATGGAACGAGTCAAGGAGCTCATCTCTGGCCGATGTTTGACTTTGAAACGAGGAGGAAATGGAGGTGATTAAAATATCTCACGCCACACGATCACCTGTTATGCATTTTTGGTGAGGCGACGGTGTGTTGGATTGTATTCGTGTTTGGCAAGATCTTAACGTATGATCACTTGGCGTATGTATGTTGAACTTCTTTCACACCGTACATAGCCAACCGTGCGAATCGGAGGTGCATATACAGTATGTGTGCGTTATGGAGGATGTTTACTTTGTGTCCTTGCCATGCTCAGCAAACTCGGGGGTGGGGTGGGCCCACACATTGACATCTTACCCACGCGGTCTCCCGCAAAGATGCGTGTTTTGAGTGTTATTTTTTTACATTTGTGTTGTGTCGAGCGTGAACATTTAGACTCGTGGTTGCCATCTGGGTTTATGAATTAATTAGAACATTCTTGAGTTGTGAGCACGTGAAGTTTCAGCCGGTGGCGGCTCGTGGCTATGGTTTGAGGAGGCTCGGGTTACCCGTTGGTAGGGTGATTCATTCGCAGGTGTAACGTGAAGGCATCTCGTGAGATGGTGCTGCATCAGTGCCGGGCTCCCACCACGCCAGTTCTCCAGAAAGAGTTTGTAATCGGCATTGTGGCGGTAATGCTGAGCACGCAACTGCAGCTTTCCCGATTCCAGTTACTCGGTACCCTTAAAAGAAAACAACAACATTAGACAAGGTCTTATTTGCAATATTCGGTCTGGGGTTAAATCCAAGTTTGACTTCAAAATTGTACGGGGAAAAAAACCCCCATTAATAACAACTTTGGATAACAAAAGCTAACAAGGTGAAATTGCACTTAAGATCTGAGTGAATAATATAATCAATTCTCCAGAATCAGTATTAAGTAGTCCCCAAATATTAAATTCGTCATAGATACAAGCACAGTTTCGACAATGTTAACGTTTCAGCAACTCGCACATTCTGAATGCACGTGCGGCAGCTGTGTTGGCCCAGTGGCACAAGAGCAGCTGGTAGGAGCATTCGTGGATTAAACTGCTTCTTGTGTTTAGTTTGTTGCGCGGTTGGCTACGTACGGTGGTGCGAAAGCAGTTCAACACATGTATGTATAATCAGATAGTCCGGCTGTAGACACCCGTGGACAAACCTCGCTGGGTAGCATGACCCCTCACTCTAACCCTAGCACCCACGAATTGTATCCCGTCCGTGCCTCCTTGGGTGAATTGGGCCCAGTCACCCACAGCCCTGAGCTGGCGGGGCTCCGGCTGCAAACCTGGGAGTGGGAGGTGGTGGGAGGAGGAGGTGGTGGGAGGAGGTGGTGGTGGGAGGAGGTGGTGGTGGGAGGAGGTGGTGGTGGTGGTGGCAGGTGGTGGTGGTGGTGGGAGGAGGTGGTGGTGGGAGGAGGAGGTGGTGGTGGTGGGAGGAGGTGGTGGGAGGAGGTGGTGGTGGGAGGAGGAGGTGGTGGTGGTGGGAGGAGGAGGAGGTGGTGGTGGTAGTGGTGGGAGGAGGTGGTGGTGGGAGGAGGTGGTGGTGGTGGTGGGAGGAGGTGGTGGTGGTGGGAGGAGGTGGTGGGAGGAGGAGGTGGTGGTGGTGGTAGGAGGAGGAGGTGGTGGTGGTGGTGGGAGCAGGAGGTGGTGGTGGGAGGAGGAGGAGGAGGTGGTGGTGGTGGGAGGAGGTGGTGGGAGGAGGAGGAGGTGGTGGTGGGAGGAGGAGGTGGTGGTGGTGGGAGGTGGTGGTGGTGGGAGGAGGTGGTGGTGGTGGTGGGAGGAGGTGGTGGGAGGAGGAGGTGGTGGTGGGAGGAAGTGGTGGGAGGAGGTGGTGGTGGCAGGAGGAGGTGGTGGTGGAGGGAGGAGGAGGAGGTTGTGCGCTCCGTGGATAAATCAAACGGCAGCCCCCGCGGCCACAACAAAAGCCACAAACACCGTGGCCACGAAATCCAATCGGCAAGCGGCACCGGGCCCCCACCAAGGTGATGCGGCCGTGAATTATTAAGCCCCCCCCCCCATCCTCACAACAAGCCTTGGTGCCTTGGTGCCAGGAGAAAGTGAGCTGATTACCAAGCCGTGCGCAGTGGAGTGGAGGGTGGTGGGGGGGGGCATTGTGACCGTGTCCGGTCGTGGGTGCCAAGCCAGAGAACAGACCTCGCAGTGTGATTCTCTCTTCTCCGTGCGGCATTCCAGTTGCCTTCCACACGCAACAAAGACAAACAAACAAAAACCCATCCTTTATAAAAGGCGATTGGACAAAACAGCCCTCTTCCCACCCCCCTCGTGAATCACTTTGAATGCACGGTTGGATTGAAGGCCTCATCGGCGGGGGTTGACTGAGCCGTGGCCGCATTGTTTGGGGCAGCGGAGGAGAGAAGGGGGTTTCGGGGTGACCTTCCCGCTTGTTGAGCGAAGGTCGTCGGACTGGAAGCGTCGACGGAACAGCCTCGGGGCTTGTAGAGTGGTCGAGACCCACTGATGTTATAGTACTCGCCCCAGGGGTCGGCAGACCTGCGGCTCCTTAAGGGGCCGTCCATAAATGACGTCACGCACCTGGGGGGGGGGGGGGGGGTCAGACATTTGTGACGATGTGTAACGAGGGGGGGGGTTTGAGAAATGTGACGTCACATCAAAATGCGCAACTTTAAATTAATATAGACAACACGTTTTACTTAATTAAATATACTTTTTAATACATGTTTTATCCTATAACATCAGAGTGCAGCGCCACATTAAATACGCACTACAATGACAATAGTTTAAATCGATTTGAAGCATGTTTTTTTTGGGGGGGGGCAGATCTTTGTGACGTCATATTTGAGGGAGGGGGGGTCTGACTTTTTGTGACGCCGTGTAACGAGAGGGGGGGGGGGGGGGGTCAAAAATCGTCCAAAATCGCGTGACGTCATTTATGGACGGCCCCATGAGGACCGCTTCGGTTCTCGTCTAATAATTTACTCTTCTTCGCTCCCTGTGGAGCATCATGCCGCAACGAGACCAAGCCGGACGGTCTTTAGCAGCGTCCCCTTGGGGCTGCTTCGTGACGTTCTTCATCAAGGACCCATCGTCTCGTATCCACCACCACCACGGCACATTGCGGCTCTTGAAATGTAGATTTGCTTTTACCGAATAACGACAAAAATGTCTTATTCTTTTTCCGACCCCTGTACTGGCCCCACTGAGGTTACTTAGCAAACACTCCCAATAATTAGCCTTAGAAAAGACCAACACGAGTGAGACTAGAAACAATAACATCATGAAATTAAACTTATAATTAGATGAAACCTAAGGGGTAGGGACATTATAGTTAACTTTGGCAGGCAATACTACCTCAGCCGGCATCTTCATTAATAATGAAGATGATTGAAGGGCATATTGGTTAAGGGACATCAATAATATGGTTAAAAGACATTAATAATGCATTTCAGTCAAAAAAGGATAATTAGGAAATAATATAGTTAAGTAAAATAACATGAATTAATAATAAATCTCAATGCACTCTTAAATGGTTGCAATTATGACGTTGATTATTATCCACAGTTCCATCCAGTGGAGGCCCTTCCACGCGCAGTGGCGTGAGCGAGCGATTGCAGGGCTGCACCTTGACCACCGTAATTCACCTTCAGTAAAGATTTATATTTCGTTAGCAGTTACTCTGAATAATGCCTTAAACTCGGAAACATCCGCTTTAGAGTTTTTGGCTGCTATAAATGTGCACGTGATTAGCCACTTCGTTTGGCTTTTATTTGCGGCCAGGTCGCTTCTGAAAAAGAGAACTTCAGTGGGCATTACCTGATAAAATAAAAAAATATATATAAACTAGTTCAGTTTTAGTTTAGATGCTCAGTTGAGCAAAGGAGGCCCGTGTGTTGCGATAGCCAGCTGCCTTCTATAACGACGCACGGCATCTCCGTTGGTGCTAAGATGCGGGTTGGGGGGGGGGGGTGGAAACTGAAGGAATAAGGCGACGAGTCCGTATCAATTTCTCTCAACCTGGGGGATGGCGGGGTAGGTGGGGGCATCACCGCGTGTGGTGTCACATCCTCCGTGCACCGTCAGTCTCCCCCGCGGCATCCACGCGGCACCCGGCGACTCAGAACCAGCGGTGGATCGTGCATCCACGTGGTGCGCCACCCGGCCCGACCTCTCCAGCCTGCCGGCCCGCGCTGCGCGAACGGAGAGGACACGAGAGGACCATGGAGGCTGCTCCCTCGTCCGGCAGGGGAATTCGCGACGGCAAAAACGCAGGTGACACCGCGGTGCTCGACGCGAGCGGTGACGGAAACGCATTCCGGTATACGTGCGTGTGGTTGTGTGTGTGCGTATGTCGAATTGTTGTTGACTCGTCACACGCCCGCCGTCCAGGTCTGGCAAACCGAGCTCCGCACATCTCCCGAGGGAGGCGGCCCTCTCTCGGCGTGCCCCGAAAGCGCGACCGCACCGCCGCCTGCGACCTGACCCCCTGGCCGGTAGACGCGCGGCACGAAGAGGAGGCTGCTGCTGCCGCCGAGGTGCCGTTCGCCAACGCCGCCGCAGCCGCCTGCGACCTGACCCCCTGGCCAGGAGACACGCGACACGAAGAGGCTGACGCCGCCGAGGTGCCGTTCGCCAACGCAGCCGCCGGAGACGCGCCCGCGGAGACGCGAGGCGAGGAGAGCAGCGCGGAGCGGCTGTGCGTGTTCTCACCGTACCTCCATCGCGCGCGATATTTGCCCCAATTATTTTTTATTGTACGTACGTCCGTTGAACTTCTTTCGCACCGTACGTAGCCGTCCGTGATAGTCGGAGGCGCGTGTGGGGGTGAAGGTAAACAAACTAAACGCAAAACACAGTTCCAAATAAATGAGTTTTCAATCTGCGCATTGCTCCACATGGCTTCCTAATATCGGGAGGAAGAGCGTTCCAGACGGCCGCAGAAGCGCATCAGAAAGCGCGCGATGCGGTGACCGCCTTTGTCCGATGGACACCCACAAACTGCTGCTGCTGCTGCGAGGATGACCACCAGAGTTTTTGTGGTTTATGCTCCTTGACGAGATCAGCACGGTATTGTGGTTCATTTGTGGCAAGCACTTTGTGTGTAATGAGTGCGACC